AATATACAATAAAACAGAAAAAAACATCTCTACAAGTTACTTTCTACTAAATGTTCAGTTTGTGAAACACTGGTCCATTTATTTTGAGGAATAAGTAAAAAAAAATACAAGCTTACTTTAGCATTGTATCCAGACTCCAGTCCTAATTTAATTCAATGTTTCTCCAATATTGCATTGGAACCATGATTTACTATCATTTAAACCAGTCAAATCACCAGTAGTTGGATTTCTGCTAATCAGATGCTCAGTGCAAATCTTTGGTATCTGACAAATCAAAAGGACACCATTACCATTTTTATTGTTTATTTAAAATAAAAACTTCCACCAAAAGCAAATGTACAAAAGCGGTCGTTTAACAAAAACATCAGTTAACGTAACTAAAATCTTCCAAGTGGACATTTTAGATGGGCTTGATCTTGAAGTGGAGCCCAATCAGACTGAAGACGAGACATTTCAGATCCTGGACCAGGTAGTAAAACACACGGAGTCCTTCTGGATCCCTGGAATGAAGCAGAATAGTTCAAGTCCAGCCCCTTCTGACCGTAACACATGTACAGTAACACACTGTTTTCAAGTGGAACTCACTTTGACTGGTTGACATCGATCAAAGAGCCAATTTTGGAAGTTGTGAATGAAATGTGCTCATCTCCAATGACGATCTCCAACTCCTGAAAAATAAACACAATCACAGGTTAAAGACACGTCCAGATATAATAAATGACATTTTTCAAACACCTGATCAGTTATATAAAAAAAATCATGAAGGAACAATTAAAATAGACAAACCTTAAATTACTTATTTAATTTCAAACAACAATCAAAGAGTAAGAATAAAAAGAAGCAAGTAATGCAAAAAAACAAAACATTAACGTTTTCAAACATGTCAGATGATCTACCCAAAGCAGCACCTATGAAATTTTGACAACATTTTGTAAAATATTTTCTCTAAAACTATACTCAACAGCTTCAATCCATATTCCGACTCCAAAGAAGCGCATATGAGATCACATTATAACCTGCACGACTAAATCAGATCTCACTCAAATAAGATTTCAGAGATGTTAAAAAAATATATATTAAATAAAAAAAACTTTTGTTCTGATGTGGATCAAAGTGGGGAGGATCACATCCTTACTAACCTGCCTTCCAACCCTGTCAGGAGGCGGCCACAGTGCATCATCTTCCTTGGTGATTTCGCTGTCATCAATGATGCGTTTCAGCTCCTCCATCACACTTTTGTGTACATATGCCTGGTTGGTGGAGAGGAGAAACAGAGTAATCACCGGAACGGTGTAAATCATTCAAATATGAATCTGATCTCACCTCAAATACATTTCATATCTACCTAATCATATCACTTAATGGATGTAAAACAAAAACACTTCATCAATAAAATATATGGCCAATAATTATTCTCTCATAGATGTTTATTCCAAAGGGAACATAACACCACAGATAATATGAGACGTTATTCACTCTGGAGGCAGTTTTACGTCAAAAATAATCAGCAGAAATTGGCCATAAATTACCTCTTTTCTGATCATGACGTCATTCTTGTAGTTGCTGTTGTTTGCGTACCTCAGCTTACCTTTAAGAAAAGATTTCCATTAAAATAACATACAATGAATGAGGTACACATGAGGACGAGCCACGAACCTAAACGCCACATGGCTTTTACGCTCTAAAATAAAAACAGTTCATTATTACTGATTTCATTTTAAATGTCCACAGAGTCAGTACAACACCCTAAATGCTGATTAGTAGTTTGCGGTCACACGTTGATCTACAGAATAAATCTTGCACTCTAGGCTCGCTGTGAATCCGCTGCGGCCTGCTCCAACCCCTGTTGCTAACAATGTTAGCTTCACCGGAGGAAGATATAGCCCTACGTTTTACCGCCAAACAACACCCACCGTCAGGTCTGAATTCAAATTCCAGGAACTCGTGTCCAAACTTTCCCTTGTGTCCCACATAATACCTCAAATAAAAGTCACTTGTTGACATATTTAAACCCTAAATTATGCTATTTATGGTGAAGATTCAGGAAACAAATCTAGCTAGCAAACGTAGCTCGCAACCGCAAGCTTCGACAGTAACGTAGACATGCGCAGTGTAGACATTTCTAAGGTGCATTTAGACTCCGGAGTTTTGTCTTGAAGGTGATTCCTAACGCATAATATTAGCAAGGTTGTACTTAAATCGACTGACTGATACAGTTTAAACCAGAAGTTTATATATACTAATATAAAAGACACATCTTCCAAAGATGTGTCTTTTATATATACTAATATAAAAGACACATCTTCCAAAGATGTGATATCAAATGTCTCAAATAGTTTAAAGGCATAGCAGTCTTACTGTATTTAAACTTTGGACTTTGACAAAAGTAATAAAAAAGTGCCTTATTATTATTTATTTTATTGTATAAATACGATATTGTTCAAATAAGTAAATATTCAGGGCAACTGTTAACTAAACCATAAAAATAAAAGGTGTCGTTGAACTCGGCTCAAATGTTCCCTGAGAGACAAGTCGCAGGGTTTATTTACATGTACTTCTCGGTTTCGTCGCATGTTACCAACGTCAGACGCATTGTGGTCTCATCAGGAGCCGCTCCGCACGTGCAAACATATGAACTTTGTATCATGGCGGGCTCGTTCTCCCAGGAGCTGGAGGACCTGTTGAATCCGTTGCCTAAGTTTGCGGATCCAGAGGACGATGCAGATGAGGCAACCAAAGCCCGTGTGGTCGAGAGATTCGACGAGGACGACGAGGAAGATGTTGGGGTCGGGGTCGGTTCTCTCCGGAAACGCAACTCCTCCCTGCTGCTGGACACGGACAGAAGGTATGAGGGGAAGCCAGTGTCCCGTAAAGAGCTGCTCATGGACGTTGGAGAATCAGATAAGGAAGATGATGATGATGATGAAGAGGGTTCTATAGAGGAAGAGGAGGGTGATGATGATGATGAAGATGATGAAGAAGAGCAGCTGGAATATTTGAGTAGATATTCAAAACTAGCTGCTAAAGTGACACCACAGGGAAAGGACTCTGACGTCACTTTTCCTGAAGAAGTGGACTTTTATAAAATGACGGAGGGCATGGACGACCTGGGGATGAGTGAAGATGGTGAAGATGATGGCAGCGGTGAGGAGTCTGAAGGCAGTGATGAGGACGACGGCTCTGAGGACGACGAGATGGAAGAGGAGCAGGAAGGAGACGCTGTCCACACGTTTTCTAAAGACAAACTGGACGAGGAGGTAGAGAAAGGCAGGGCAGTGAAGAGTCAGCTGGCTCTCTGGGACCAGCTGCTTGAGGGCCGGATCAAACTCCAGAAAGCCCTGGTGACGGTCAACCAGCTGCCTCAGCCGCCTGCGTTCCCAGAGTTCAAGAGGAGAGGTGGGCCTGAGTACGCCGGGGCTCTGAAGAACACCCACAAGGCCCTGAAGGCTCTCCAGAGGTCCCTGCTGGAGCTGCATGACCAGCTGCTGTACCAGAGCCCAGACACACGCCCCATCGCCATGGGGAAGCCTCCAGCTGGGAGCGAGGATGATGAGGAGATAAACAGCAATGGCGATGAAGAGGAGCAGAGGTCATCGGTGGACGTCGGCGCGCCCAAAAGGAAGCTGGACATGGCAGAGTACCCCGACTTTATGGCCAAACGTTTTGCAGCTTTTGAGCCCTACCGCAACGCCACGCTGCAGAAATGGCACGACAAAACCCGCCTGACCACGGGCAAGAGCAACAAAGGTTTCGGAGCATTTGAAAGGAACATTCTGACCCAGGTGGAGCAGGTGCTGATGGACAAAGAGAGGCTGCTGCGGCGCACCCAGACCAGGCGCTCCGAGTACAGAGTCCTCGGCAAGAGAGAATCTTCTGCCGAGATCCTCGAAAACATCCCAGAGGAGGAAGAGGTCGCCGAGCATCAGCCGAAGTTAAACTCGCACCTGAAAGATCTGGACGAGGACATATTCGACGACGACGACTTCTACCACCAGCTGCTGAGGGAACTCATCGAGCGCAAGACGAGCGCCACGGATCCCAACGACCAGGTGGCCATGGGCAGGCAGTGGTTGGCCATCCAGAAGCTGCGCAGCAAGATCAAGAAGAAGGTGGACACCAAAGCTAGCAAGGGGCGCAAGGTGCGATTCCAGGTCCACAACAAGCTGGTGAACTTCATGGCCCCTGTGGACCACAGCTCTATGAGTGACGAGGCCCGCAGCGAACTCTACCGCGGCCTCTTCAGTCAGAACACCGCAGTCAGGGAATAATGCTTCAGAAAGGAGAGCAATGACCTGCAGGAACTTTTCAGACCTGGTGGACAGTTCTGATAATGTAGTTTGGTAGTGTTAATTGCTCAAAGGACAAGCTAAGTTCTTTATCGCATTTTAATCATTTAGGAAGACCTCAATGCACTCACAAATCAGCAAGAGACCAGAATCTGTCGATTTTCTCTGAGGACAGATATTAGCGTGGTCGACTAATATCTGATTATTTTGTTGCACCTTTTGTAGTTCATAAAAACCAGGGAAAGTTTATGGACATAAACTCTGATCCATCATCTTGAAATTCCTTCATTTTCTGTAAGAATCCGACGAGTTATTTTCTCTTTATACGCTACCGTCTCTAGAAAAAATCAACACATCAAAGATACGAGCTTAGAAAATACCATGTCAAAAATCAATGGATTTTAGAGATCAATGTCTCCTGAAATGTGGGAACTTATGTAATCTTTTGTTTCATATGATCTGGTAAAGATGTGATCACAAGTGAGTTGTTTCGACATATTCAGCTCAAAATACACTTCCACTGTATTGACACAAATAAAAACATGTATGCTGGTATCTGTAAAGATACAGAGATTGGAATCAACTGTTTTTTTTTCTTATCAAATCAAATTCAATCCGCAGAGTATTAGGGCCAGACTTACCTATTTTTCATATAATTTTGAGAATAAAGTCATAGTGAAAATAGTCAGAATAAAGACACGACACAACACAAAGTTGTAATATTGTGAGAAAAAGTTATTTTATTGAGAAAAAAAATCAATAGTCATCAAGATCTTATGTGACCAGCTTGGCAACGCTGTTATTTGCACTATTGTTTCAAAGTCCATCATTTGATGCTGATGTGTTAAAAGATGAAATCATTTCCTTATTTGCAAAATAAACTGAACATTCCTCATCTTAATTGTTTTTAAAAATGAATACTTAGCTTTTCTAATATTATGACATTATTCTGGTCATTTTATAACTTCTCATAACAGTTTATTCTTAAGACAACTGTCAGAACGTTTTTTCTCATAATATGGTTTTTTCTTAACCTGGCCCCAGTAAAATGTTGAAAATCAGAAAAAACTCATTTTTCACCAGTTTTAGTTCAATAAAAAATTAAAAATGAACTGAAATTTGATAGTTTGACTTGTTTTGATAAAGAGAAACAATCCTGTAATGCCAACATACTCAAAGAACTCGCAGCATGTATTTCACTTTTATGCAAAAAGTTAGAGGAAAAATAATGGAGAGGAAGTGTTGGTCTAAATCAGACTCCCAATTCAGACCACAAAGAAGCCAGAAATCTATTTCTGTCAGGAATAGTTACCCCATAAAGCATGCAACATTTCCTTTAGCTATTCAAACAAGAATTATAAAAAAGAAAGAGACTTGGAGTCAACCCATTTTTCTGTGCGCTTCATAGTTTTTCAAGCAGCGTTTAAAGCATTCTCAATAACGAAAATAACTTAATATGACAGATTACTGCAACTTAGCCCAAGTGAGTTCAACTGTAATGTTTGTGAAAAAGTGAGAGCTTCAATAACAGGTGACATTTTACTCAGTTCAACAGTAAAACAAAACTAACCTGAAGAGAAACAACAGCAGAGTACCTGAGAAGATTAGAAAATGTTCTGTACAAAAATGTATTAGAAAATTTACAGCAACTTTCCACATCAGACATATTAAACTTAATGACTGTACCTTTTAATAAAAGAAAGTCTGCATCAGAATATGGAAGCAATTGAATTGCTCCGATTGTTTGTGAATGAGTCCAGATCATTTTGAACTAAACATCTGCAGCTGGTTCATAAAGTAAAGACAAAAACCATCTGTGTTTCAGACACAATGGTCCCAGTTAAATCAGAGGACCTTAGGGGGAAACTGGTTTCTTAACCAGTCTCAAAATTCATTTTAACAGATAAAGCAAAACAAATGCAACAATAAAACCAACTTATTTCAACTTTAACTTGCATATATGGACATATTTGTTACCCAGAAGACTTCAAGTGAAGAAAGACAATAAGAGACAAAAAAAAACAAGCGTTTGCTCCAAACATCCGAGAACCAATATGAAAGAAGAAAATGTTCAGAGGACAATGTTTGGGTGAAAATGTGTTGCTAATATCAGAAGAATAGGCAGACTGGTTGAGCAGAACACCATTTCTGATTTTACAACACATTCAAGTCCATTTTTGTTGTAAAGCAGCTCTGGCCCTGAATCAAACTGAAATTGGATCATGAAGTTCAAACCTAAACGAGGAAACTGGAATCAGAAAAAAAAGCTTGAATCAAATTCTCTATATTTACAAATGTCTTTAGTCAGAGGAGAATCAGACCGCTGGAAGACGTTTACAGTTTCTAACTGGTGATCCTCAGCACTGACGAAGAAGAAGAAGAGCACTTAGAGGCTGACTTGATTTCAGGTCAGTGGGGCCGGCTGCTGGACTCCACGCCGGGCTGCTGCTGCTGCTGCTGCTGCTGCTTCATGAACCCGTATCCATTGATCCACCCGTTGGGACGTTTGGTCAGGCCGCCATTCAGGATGTCCTGGATGTGCTGGACAATCAGGTTAATGGCAACTGTAGTCAGAGAAAAAGACGAGGTGCATGTCACTGACTGTGGCCGGTAAAGTTTGTAGTTGAAACTTGAGGGACTGAGAACAAATGTTCAGGCCTATAAAAACTTTAAAAGGTACAGCATTTCTTCATCAAAACAGCTGTTTTATGTGGAGAATAACAGGTTCAAGTTGGTCAAATTCATTCAGACAGAAAGTTAGAAATCTTGTTGTCTTCACCTGTTAAGTTTCAGATGCCCCTTTTCTCAGCCCAGACAATGCTGTTTGTCCCTAATCTTGCTTCTTTAGCTCCCAGAGACAAAAAATGTGAGCTCAGAGATAAACAGTAAACACAGCTGCATCCCTCAAGATAACCCTGTTGAGTCTAGTGAATCTACGTTGTTGGTAAAACGCAGTCAAAGTACTCACCGGTGTTATCAACTCCTCTAGGAATTATCACATCAGCGTACTTCTTGGTCTGAACAGGAAGGGGAGAAAGAGAGGGAAGGAAGGTTGTAGTCCATATTCATGGTTATCGAATGCAAACGGCAGGACCAGAATGCACACTCACTGGCAGGCAGAACTCCTCAAAAGCAGGCTTCACAAAGTTCATGTACTGGGCTAGAATGCTCTCCAGGTCCCTGCCGCGTTCACTAATGTCCCTCAGCACTGACAGAAAAAACAGACAGAAAGCTACCTTCAGGAATACTTAGCTTGACAAAACATCCACTGCAAAACACCAAAATGCCAATTTGAGGAATTGAATAAATCATCACAAATCCATGCTTCTGGTCATGGCTGTGCTTAAATAAACCTCTAGGCCTTGAAATTCTAGAAATAAAGGTAATTTTCCAGCAAAACATTAGCATAAATACAGTCGCTATGAGTAACTATGTCCATCCACTACATGTTATTGGAAAGATTTCTCTTGCAGATTGATGCAAAGCATTTTACAACCCAGTGACCACTACCTACGCAACTTTTAAACTCCTAAACTGCTACAACATGACACAATGTGAGAATGTTCCAGATATAACTAAATCTTGCAGGACACACTCCAGTTCACATTTAGAACAGTTACTTCTAAGTAAACCTGCTTTGTGTCTACAAACTTCAAAAACCAGAAGCACCAAAGTATATGTACCAAGTGTTATGTTCTCTGTTACAAACACTGGTAATGGCTCACAATCTTCTAACCGTCTGGACAAGAAAGTCTCTGAGTAACACTTTTAATAATATAACACATTCAAGCCTAAAAAAGGTCATGGTAGCATAAGACCTCACCAGATGCCAGGCCAAACAGTTACAAACAGAAAACTGAGACATATTTGCAGCAACTGTATGATACACCTTCTTGAACCTAGACAAGAAGAGCTGAGGAAGTTCTGAAAGCAAACGCAGTTCAAGTCGGTACTAGAGACCAGTAAGTCTATTTACTGGGATAAGGCCAGTTTGTCCTCTGCTTTCTAATTGTGGGCCTCCCCAAACATTACAAAACAGCCCAAGCACCTTTAGTTAAGCATCTTTTCACTTTAAGAACATGACAACACCTCTGCGCGACAGACGTGTGTCTGCATCCGTGTCCACAAACAGTTTCATTTGGAAAAGGTCTCGAATCTCCTGAGAGTAGAACATCAAGATGCCTTCAAACAGCACCACATCGGCAGGGTACACCGTGACCGTCTCTTCCTTCCTGATGGACAGAGAGCAAACACAAAGCACTAAACCCATTTCTGCTATTTCTTGTTATGTTCATATGAGACGTAAGGTCTCCATACGAGACCATATAGGACATGAGGTTCTTATGTCTTATATGAACATTATGTGGACATAGTTATGTCTCACTATACCCGAGTTCACACAAGCTATCATTGTTCTTCAGAGTTGTAGGATTTTAAGGTCAAGAAAAGACGTACCTGGAATGGGAGACAAAGTCATAAACAGGAATGTGGACAGTTTTTCCTTCCTTGATGTCCCACAGGGTCTCAATTATAAGGTCATTATCAAACGCATCTAGACCGAAAGAAAGAACAAAACAGTAAAAACATAACTTCTCAAACAGTTGAAGTTGAATAAGCCATTTCTTACGGTTAAAAACTTTCAAATCCTTCCTAAATGAAGAGGTGAAGACCACTGCAATACCTGGGTGGTCAAAGTTGAACTGGCCCTTGAGTGCCTTGGCCTTGTGCTCTGGGGTCAGGACCTTGTAGAAGCTGTCCTGACTGAGGATGGCCACTTGGCGCTGGTGGTGGTCGATCTCGTTCTGGCCCAGCAGCTCCATAATTTTGTTGCACACCGATGACTGGCCAAATGAGAACATAAACACTGAGCAGAATTATCAGAATCATGAAGTGGATTCTGAGTTTTCTGAAACAGTGCCTTGCCAAACGGCACATTGGTATGTGACAGGAGGACGCTGGAATCCAACCCACAACTTTCATATTGCAATACAATGAAGCTTCCCACTAACACAATCACACTGTCTGTATTACATCCTCTCCTGTAATGTTAAAAAATTTTTTATCAATAATTATGAAACTTTATTCATTAGCAGGTTATAAAAAACAACACTTTCTTTGATACCCTTAATGTCAACAAAGCTTTAAAACAACGTAAAATCTGGTAATATTGCAAGATGGGGGCGAGGGGAGAATAGTATACTTTTGGCTTATATTTAGCGCACAAAATACATAAATGTATCCAACCAAGCATTAAATAAATCCAAAGTTGACATAAAATGTTAACATAGCTGTCTTTGCAGCTCACAGACAAACACAATAAGAAGAAATACAGTTTAACCCCCATCTGGATCACATGGCTGGGAAAACAGGTGTTTCTGTGAACGGTTACTCTCAGACAGTGGCGCATAACATCAGGAAACAGAAACCACCAACAACCACAAATAAAGTTCTGCCCATGGAATCGACTACAACTTCAGCTTATTGAAGTTAACAAGGCAATAAAATAAAATCCACAAGCTTTTTTTCTGCAACATAGCCATGCACCAAAGCAGCTTTTTCTTTTTTATAGAATAATGGACACTGAAAGATTTGTAAGCTTCAACATTCTGTAGACTTTAGGAATAAAGCTGATCAATGATATGAGGAGAAAGAACAGAAACAGTACACGAGAAACAAGAAGAAGGGATACATGATCCCATAATAAAACACTGCAACAAAATCCCTCCATTTTATTCTAAAGTAACACATTTTGCTTCCTGGAGAAATGTTGTAATTTATTCTGATTTGACTGAATCTGCAGCCTCTGCACAGCTGCTGCTGATAAACTGAAACCTGCTCATTCTCTTTGTTCATATGTTTTATATATATATATTACCCTTCTATGTTACTAGTCATGCAACAGCATACGGATACTGCAAAGGATAAAAAAACATAATTAAAGGAACCAAGCAAACAAAAAAATTAGAATCGATCACAACGTAAGACAATGATTTCAACAAAGAACACGTTCGGCTGTTGTGATTGAAATGCCAACCTTGCCGCTGGCCGTGCCCCCGGCCACACCGATCAGGAACGGTTGCCGGTGCCCGTCACGCTGGCCCGGGTCACCCGGCTTTGTCTCGCTGTCTGTCGGCATGCTTCATCTGCCGGCCGACGCGGTTTGTGCATGCTGGTGTGTGTGCGCGCGCTCCTCCTATTTCATCACGGTGACGGTGAGGAGGCGGATAGTGACGTCAGATCACAGGAAATGAGAGGGAGTTCAATTCGGTTCATTTATATCGAGACACTTTACGGAAACAAAAGTGCCTCGAGACGACTCCTGGTGAGGTCAATACATTCCGACTTGATCCTGTTATCAACAAGTTCAGTGTAAATTGTTAAAACTGGTTTGTTAAAATGGTTGTAGAAAACCCAGCAGACCCCACAGAGACACTGACTTTGCAGAAACCTCCAGCAACAACACTCCAGGTGCCGAGCTGTAAACTCTATGAAGAGACAGTTCAAATCTGCAAACACTGCAAATTTGGAGAGTAGAAGGGGGATATAGCAGTTGTCAACATGCAGTCTGAGCCTATGGCTACAGTAAAGGATAACCACGCTAAACTTTCCCAAAAAGGAAAGTCTTGGTCTTAAATGCAGACTGGTGAGGAGCCTGATCAGATCTTTCTCCCATTCTACTTTTAGAAACCTCCAGGAGCCACCAGTAAATTTTACTTTCTGGGAGCAAAGTGTCCGGTTACAAATATTCAGATCTGAGGAATTAGAGTTATGACACTTTTCTGCTAAAGATATTCTAGCAACACAGCCCAATCACTCCTACATGATACACAAAAAATGTAAAGGCAGACCCCAATTAATCAGATCTTTTGTTGTTGTTTTTTTGTTCTGATGAGGCCAAATGTGAAAAATTGTGCTGCAATTTTTAAAGGTTAGGTTTTTCAACAAAACTACACAGCACATCACAAAAAAATTACACCCACTGTAAAACATGGTTGTGGCATTCTTTACAATGGGTAAAGCATGCCAAATATATATATATATATATTGAACCTCAAAGACCTCACTGTTTTCTCCAAGGAAGAGATATTTTTATCTTTCATCATCACAAAGGAATAAATGCATTAATCATCAGACATGACGGGGTCTATCATGACAAAATAAGGCTTTTAAAGAGATTGAATTCAACAAAAAATCTTGACAAGGAGTAAGCAGTGACCCTGACTGAGAAGTCAATTAGTTTGTCTCAAAATTAATGGACATATACCAAAACACAGCAATCAGTAGCAACTGAGTGATAGAAAAATCACTTTTAATCCTTTTAATTCTTCCTCAAAGTGCAGGGGACTGAAGTGCTTGCCTCACCTTTTAGATCATTATATATATATATATATATATATTATATATATATATATATATATATATATATATAATATATATATATATATATATATATATATATATATGCAAATACAATTGAAGAAATTGTCTTTCCATTTCACAATTATGCACTGCTTTGTTACTCTGTAACATAATATTACTAAAAATAGACAAGTTCTTGGTCGAAAAGGTTTTCTGTTTTGTGTTTGTGCGTGTTCGTAAGCGTGAATAAACCGGAAGTGTTTCCCAGCTGAATGACCTCTGCGTAATGCTGACAGAGCTCTATGAAGCTCCGTGGAGAGAAGGAGCTGAGCCGCTCAGGGTTTAACTTGTGTCTGGCCTTTGTTCTGTGAAGCGGCTCCGTCAGCCGGAAAACCACCATGAGTACCATGTTTGCAGACACCATTCTGATCGTCTTTATTTCGGTCTGTACGGCGCTGTTAGCAGAAGGTGGGTGGAAATCCTTTTTAAGAAAGCTGCCGTGTTTAACGGTGTTCAGAAACTCGACCGTGTACATATGTGTATCGTTCCTGTAAGATTCAGGGTGGAGAAATGATATCAGCCTTGGTGTGACAAGTCATTTCTAATGTTTTCTGGACCTACAGTCGGAAATGAGGCTTGAATTTAAACTAGCCGAGAATGCTAATGGCTAACATCTTGTGGTTCCGGTTGGTATTTCAAAACAAAAGTCTCACAGAGCTTTAGCAGATATAATTTTTTGATGCCTCGACATGTATTTGACTGTGTTGATAGTTTGTTAGATATGGATTCTACTCAATCTTTAATGGCTTACCGATAAGTGCAGGCATGACTCCATTCATCTTTTGTGGAGTCCTGTCAGCCGCGTCTCTCGCAAATCGGGTTTTCGAAAGATTTATGTGGACACAGCACACCCTGCTGGTTAAAGACGGATTAACAACCACAGTTCATACAGGTATTAACGACGGAATAGAAATCTTCATTTGCTTGATTGGAAATTATCCGAGCAAAGCTGCAAAAGAGTGAGAATTAGAAGTAGTCAGGTACCCCTCCCCGTCCACGCCCCCCCCCCCCCCCAAAAAAAAAAAAAAAAAAAAAAAACTAATGGGAGTGATTGTTCTTTGTTGTTGTTTGGTCTTTGTTGGAAAGTAAATTAACAGGAACATGGGTTGTGACAGACATGCTGAAAAGGTCAACAGGCCGGTGACCAGGCCCTCTTACATCGGTCACGCGCCAGATATAGGACCAGTAGCTGAAATTGAAATCTTCAGTAAATCAAGCTGGAAACTGGAAAAAGTGGACATCAACATAATATGCGATGTTGATAATATGTGTATCAACATTGGAATAAAATGTAAATTATTTTTATATTTTGTTGAATAGCCAGAAATCTGTGCAAGATATCGACTAGTTAGACATTGAGATCAGTTCAAAACACCAGACAAAGGCTTTGTGAACTAGAAGAAGCCTTATAAATATGTATGTGATAAAGTAGATATTTACAGTTATCATTTATTTTAATAAAGAGAATACAGTTTGTGACATTTGTACATATTCTGCTCTGTTGGCAGGGATAACCTGGGTTTTAGTATATCGAACTGAAAAGTACAAGAGGCTAAAGGCTGAGGTGGAAAAACAAAGCAAAAAGCGTAAGTGCTCCAGAACGGGTCTCCATCATGTGACTAGACTGGCATCTATAGATGGTTCTTTAATGTTGTTCTTTACTCTTGTTTCTCTGCTGTCAGTTGAAAAGAAAAAAGAAACCATCACTGAGTCTGCGGGACGTCAGCAGAAGAAGAAAATTGGTAAGAAGCCAATGAGTTGTCATGGGAATCGGCTCACAAATGGCATTGGTTTGCTGTAACTATAACTATGTTCCCATCACTTTACATAATATGAAAAACCTAAGACACTACCTTGTCATTACATTATGTGATGGCGTATCACATAATGTAGCTCTAAAATAAACTGTGTTCTGTTACAGAAAGACAGGAAGAGAAGCTGAAGAACAACAACAGAGACCTGTCCATGGTGAGGCTTATGACATCCAACCTGTCCTTGACTTATTGAATGATACTTCAACATGGATCCTGTAGTTTTAGTCAAATATTGTTTTTCATTGGTGTGCTTGTTCCTAGGTGCGCATGAAGTCCATGTTCGCAATTGGCTTCTGCTTCACAGCTTTGATGGGCATGTTCAACTCCATGTGAGCTCCACTTTTGATCAAAACAGACTACTTAGAAATGAAACGATATAAAAGTTTTCTAAAGTGCAATAAATAAACTCAAAACTTCTTGTTGTTTTTCTTGGCAGTTTTGATGGAAGGGTTGTGGCCAAGCTGCCGTTTGTGCCGCTGTCTTACATTCAGGGGCTGTCGCACCGCAACCTCCTGGGCGAAGACTACACTGACTGCTCCTTCATCTTCCTCTACATCCTCTGCACCATGTCTATCAGACAGGTAATTATGGTGTTTTAGATAATCCAGAAAAAGACTTTCTTACCTTTAAAGATATTCTGTTGCTTACTGAGTGGTTGTCATGGCACAAATTGATCCTGTGACTTTCTATTAGTGGATCAGCACGGGTCAGGTGTGACAAAACAACACGAATCACCTCTCTGATGTGAAAATCTGGCTCTGTCAATATCCCATACTGATATTGCTTCAGTATTTACAACACCACACTGTTGCCAAATCTTTACAGACATTTCAAAAGAATAAAATTGGCATCAGCCAAAATCAGCTTTTTGAAGATTGTTGTTCAGCAAGAAAACTGTGATCAGTTCATCCCTAAATCATGTTTCAAGACATAAAAACCAAATGTGAAAATGCTGGACCCCGAACGGGATTGGTCTCATCGTTGAAAGCGCTTGGTCATGATGACTGTGGACGAAGTGCAGCTATCAGCAGCAGACTGTCTAAAAACACCTGGATCAGTGACAGTGTTGTATCATCAAGAAGGAGCTGATGTGAGTTTAACAGAGTTCATCTCTACATCAGCCTCATACGTCCTTTGACCCCCATCTTCAAGTCAATATTCATTTATTTCAACCTTTGACCCTGAATAAACCAGTGAAGTTATGACTGTGAAAAGAAACTCCACTGCTTCTAACCAGATTTTTCTGTCTGTCCTCCTTCCAGAACATTCAGAAAATGCTTGGACTTGCCCCCTCCAGAGCCGCCACCAAGCAGGCAGGGGGGTTCCTGGGACCTCCGCCCCAAGCGGCCAAGTTTTCCTAATTGTCAAGTCACCATGGCGACCCCATCAGAGCGTTGATGGAACTGTTTGTGCTGGAGCGAATGTCTTGCCTGTTGGAGCAACTATGTTGTTTGATTACTTGTTGTGTTTTGTAATATTTAACTTAAAAGTAGAGGAGAAAATAGAAAAGTTCAGCTCACACCGTGTTCACCTCACAACATGGGCCGGTCTGAGATTTTAATCTTTTATTGACACAATAACATCTGAACGCCTTTCAGTATTACTGAATGTCATCATCTCTATTTTGAGTAAATTGCATATTAATAAAATTTTTACGATTATGTCATATTTCTCTGCTTTCTTTATTTTGCATCCCGTTTAGATGTGAATGACAAAGTAAACATGTCCAAAATATTGTTTCAACTTTTATCTCAGACTTTGGAATTTTCAGTCATATTCAAAGAAAAATAATTTTCCATTTGGAGCAGTACGTTCCCCCTAAAATGATCTCTTTAAAATAACCATGGCAGAAAAAAAAGTTGTTACATTTCCTTTATCACAGCAACTTGATAAAGAAAATGTATCAAGTTGATGTAGTAGCTTGTATCAGTTGCTGTTCTAGAAGAAAGATAGTGAAGGTAAACACCAGCACTGCTTCCATCTGTTCAGTGTTTACCTTAACAGAACATAAAACAACACAAACCCACAGCATCAGTTACACAAACATCATTCGCCTTCCTACTGTGCTTGATTATCAACTCTGTATTAATGACCAAACATTTCTACTTTACTCTCATCTGTCAAAAGAGAATTGTTCCCAAAATCATGTTTTATTTCATAATGCATATTTTCTGTTTTGCATTAATTTTTCAAAATGACAGTAGCGTCTGGGTGTTTTTGCCTGAAGTTAGATTGGATTAATTAAAAAGAAAAACATGGATCATATCATTTTCATTGTGCTCTGACTAGCAAAATCCTACTAATGAAGGTGTTTTCTTTTTATATTACAGCTGTTAAGTTTCATAAAACAGATAAAATGATATTTTTAGAAGGTGATGAATCGCACTGTGCTCTCATGCAGGCTGTATCCTTGGAGACAGACCAGCTGGTTTTACAATCTTGTAAAGTTTTTTATCTCGGGGTCCTTTTGAAATTCTCCTCACTAATTTGCATTGTATTGTTTTACACTCAGTTTAGAAAATTATCTTTAAAAATGCTGTTTTTTCCTGGTGTCCATAAACAGTGGTGTCCTGCGTCATGCAACAGAAATGACTGGCTCTGTTTCAGCTGCTTTATTCATCTTTATCGGAGTTATTAGTTTAAAGTCCGCCTGTTTCTGCTCAGCCGCAGCGAGGAGCCGTTTCTCTGAAAAGAGGTGTGTCCTGGCTGCTTAAAAGGGCCGGAAAATCCTCCTTCCAGTCCGACCAGACGTCCATCTCGCAGCTCCTCTCTGCAGACTAACGGTACAGTTTATTTCTCCAACAAGTTCAAGAGCTTTTATAAGCAACAATAACGGCGCGTGCGCTCCGTCCTGGCGTCGCGTTCTTTGACTAAGCTAGCTTATATGCTCTGCTAGCTCTCTGCCTTCCCAGCCTAATATTACGTCATGTTTTCTGAAACTTTCAGGTACAATCTGTGTGAAAATGGCCCAGTCAATCCTCGATACGATCTCCGGAGCCTCCACTGGAACCCTGCTGGTTACAGAGCCTCTGAACTTCTGGGCTGGAAAACGGGTGAAGCCCAGAGAGGAGAAAAACGCCGAGCCCGTTTTCGAGCCTGCAACTGGTAATGCATGTTAAAAGTTTGCTCTGGCGGTAATGCATGTTAAAAGTTTGCTCTGGCGGTAATGCATGCTAAAACAACAGCACAGTCTAGAGGTTTAGTCTGCTTTCTTAGTAACTCTGCTCTGGAGTTGAATTTCGGAGAGGAGTGGCGACGCTGAAGTTGGCTTCTGATTTGTAACCATGACGCGCTATTTCGCATCTTTTTGGAAATTGTCAGCAGAATTACATAACAATAATATCAGGCTGACGAAATGTAGACTAAAGGGCGTCTTTATCTCAGACTTCGAGATTCCTGGAATAAAGAGGAGCTGCATTGCTTACATAAAAGACTATCTTCATGTAAATTTTTATCTTTATCTTTGCATAAATAATAATATTCAATAATATTTGGATTATTCAAGAATGGTTGATAAACTCACACAGTCTTGGAGAAAAACTGGGTTACAAATTGACTTTTACCTTTTTCTCTCTCCTTGTCTGTATTTTCTTTGTTTTTGAAAACCTGATTTTATCATTTTTCTTAGCAGCATAATAACCGCCAGTTGTTCTTGTCTTCTACTGACTGCTGCTGAGTCACATGCACCAAGCTGAAAATAATCATTTCATGGAGATCCAGGAGAGTTCAGGGCAAATATGGATGTGTGTGTTTTTGGTCTGGGAACATTAAATTGTTACTGCTAAAAATAATCTTAGAAAACACAATTTTGTAATTGACAGGGCCCCATTTTTTTTTTTTTTTCTATGAACAATGAATAAATAAATTGTGGAGGGCCCCGGGCCCCCTGTCGGTCAGGGGCTCTTAGAATTGTCTTACCATTTCCCTGCTATATGAGCCCCTGGGGTGGGAGAAATATGCTGCTGAATCATAGTATTTCTGACAACTTTTAAGTTCAACAGTAGAACACAAAATGAAAGAACAGTCAGGTGTTCAAACACTTCTGTTTTCTGTCAGACAACAGAATTAGACTGTCCTATTTCATTTTTCTTCCATATTCTATCTTGGCTTTAATCAATTTAGAAATTCTGAATTTCATTCACTGAATCTATGGGCTAAATCATAACTTTACATATGAGAAATCCAGTTTATAATCAGTGAGTCCTTTATTCTATTTGGCAAAGTACCAAATAAGGAAAGTTTTACTGCAGGAGCTTTGCAAACAAAATGAACGTTCACACATAGGAAATTTATTAAAGGTGCTTTATTTAGTTTAGGGACAATCATTTTCAGGTTTACCAGACTTACCATTTATTGAAGTTTTCCTCAAAGTAAATGGTAAAGGAACCAAAGGGATTTGGACAAATAGAAATGTGCAGTTTTGTAAATGCAAGAATATTTTTTATTGTTCAGTGTGGAAATTTTCTTTCTAGGTTTAACTGATCTTTCTGGGATTGAACTGTAGAAAATCAATCTTAAACTCAAAAGTTGTGAAATAGTCCTTTAGAGTCTGAAACTACAGATAGATGCTAACTTCAGGGCTGCGGGGTGTGACGAGTTTAGGATTTTCTCCCTACTGTTTAGTGGAGAGAAGAGGGGGGAGGATCTATCAGTACAGCCCAGCTTTCTGAGGCTTATTTGCCTTCCTATTTGCTCAGGCCGTGTCCTGTGCCAGCTGGTGCCCTGTGGGGCGGAGGAGGTGGAGGAAGCCATCCAGAGTGCCCACTCTGCCTACGTGAAATGGAGCAAGATGTCTGGCATGGAGAGAGCTCGGTGTATGCTTGAGGCTGCCCGCATTATCAGGGTGAGCCGGCCAGGCGGCTTTGAAGCTGTCCAACTTTTACTGTCCTTATTGTGCAACTTAAATCGGAGCTGACTGTTGCAAGCTCGCAGTGTGACACTAGTTATTCATTAACAGGAAGCCCTCCCTCCTTTGGATTTGTGCAAAATCCTCCTTTTGTGTCTGGTTGGCCCATTTTAGGTCACATGAAGGAGTTCGGTTTATTTTCCAGTAATGACTCTGCATTTTTGCTCCCAATCAAACAGGAACGGAGGGAGAAAATTGCAAAGCTGGAAGTGATCAACAATGGCAAGTGCATCACCGAAGCCCTGGTGGATGTGGACGTCGCTTGGCAGACAATGGAGTTCTACGCCGGCATGGCCGGGACACTCACTGGTGGGTGCGGCGATGTCTCTTTGTGTTTTGAAGCGTACTTTCTGTTTGTCTCAACGTGGGTTTGTGCTGTGACTCCAGGTCAGCACATCCAGCTTCCTGGCGGAGCCTTCGCCTACACCAGGAGGGAGGCCCTCGGGGTGTGCGTGGGGATCGGGGCATTCAATTATCCCTTCCAGATTTCTGTCACCAAGTCGGCTCCGGCCCTGGCTTGTGGTCGGTGAACGGCAGCGACTTTCAACTCTCATTTTTACATAAAGTCACTAATAAAAGAGATGGGAGTAAAACAATGGTTTTTCTAGGTAATGCCATGGTGTTCAAGCCGTCTCCCATGACTCCTTTGACTGCTTTGGTTATGGCTGAGATCTACAAGGAGGCAGGAGTTCCTGATGGCCTGTTCTGTGTGGTCCAAGGTGGAGCAGAGACTGGCACTCTGCTCTGCCACCACCCCAAGGTGGCGAAGGTTTCCTTCACAGGCAGTGTTCCAACTGGCAAGAAGGTACAAATGCTAAAAATGTGTTGGATGTTCACATTTGGTTCACACAGCAAAAAGTTTAGTCTGTTTTCAAAATCTAAGAATCCACACATTACAATAAAACATTATAGCTATAACAGGGTTATCGCTTGATAACAGCTGTTTCTGATGTTTGAAACATCGGAATGTTTCACTCGACATTCTGGTGGGAAAGAGTTCAGAGTAAACAAACATGGCCGACTAGCAAGAAGCAATGGCAATAGTTTGTGAGTCAAGGTAACGCAGACAAAATACAAAGACTTCTTTGATGTCTACCAGGCCTTCTGATCACTCATGGCAGTAGTTTTGTCATCTTCATGTAGAGTTCCCCTTTATGTTTCCTTCACCTCTGATTGGCTAACCGTCATATTCAACGGGATCCATGTTTGTTTGTCCCCAAGGAACACCGCACACACTGCAATATCAAGCTAAGACATTTCAACTTGTTGAATATCCCTGACTTTATATTCGAGCGGACCATGTCACTTTTAATAATCTAGTTTAATTGTATGGCACATTTCAGCAACGAGGCAGTTCAAAGTGATCACACACAGAGGAATATCTGTAGCTCATTTTTAGAGCCATCACGATAACTGGGGTGGCCTTAAGATATTTGTAAGGGAGGGAATCAGGACAAAAATTGGCATGAAAGTCTTGCCTTGTGAACGAGGCTCTAGTTGGCAAAAGAATCAATTCTTTTGAATAGCAGCACCTAGATTTACCTAAATGAGTTAGAATGACTCCATCCCTGCTGCATGTCCTCTCAGGTGATGGAGATGTCTGCCAAGGGGGTGAAGCAGGTGACCCTGGAGCTGGGAGGGAAATCTCCCCTCATCATCTTCAAAGACTGTGATCTGGAGAACGCCATAAGGGGGGCACTCATGGCCAACTTCCTGACCCAGGGCCAGGTGAGACTGACAGACATCCCATCCTTATTGGCTCGTGTCACTCAGCCCGTCTGAACCAGGGCGACCTCTGTGAGCTCTTACAAGGTGTGTGTGAAATGTGTAGGTTTGCTGCAATGGAACCAGGGTGTTTGTACAGAGGGAGATCATGCCACAGTTCCTGGAGGAAGTGGTGAAGAGAACCAAGGCCATCTCTGTGGGTGACCCGCTGCTGGACGGCACCCGCATGGGGGCCCTCATCAGCAAGCCCCAGCTGGTCAAGGCTCTGGGGTTTGTCACTCAAGCCAAGAAGGAGGTTGGTTCATTATCAAAGTTGGATTGGGAGACTTAAAAAATGAGGCTATGTTCACACAGCGGGTGAATGCAACCCAAACCCAACATAGTCCTCGAGGGCCAATGTCCTGCAACTTTTAGATGTGCCTCTGCTGCACCACCTGAATAGAATAATTGGGTCATTAGCAAGGCTCTGGAGAACTGATCTACACAAGGAGGAGGTAATTAAGTCATTTCATTCCTGTGTTTTGTACCTGTGGCACATCAAAAAACTGCAGGACAGTGGCCCTCAAGGACTGGAGTTTGACACCCCTGAGCTCGATAAAACAAACAATTCTGAAAAAATCAGAATTATGAAATCTGAATGAAGCACATCCCATGCTAACTCCACCACTCCTGGTTCTGACCACACAGACTTCCCTTAAGCAATTGCTGTTGATGCTCCACAAAAGGTCATTGCTATTAGTTGTGCTTTCTTTTTTTTCAGCTTCCAATGCTGAATAACTTTTATAATCCATCTAGTATTAGTACTATGCTCGTCTATGCTTGTCTTTGCTTTGGCATCTTAAGCCTTTCTTGTGCAAATTGTCTTTAAAAAAGAGTAAGAAAAGACTGTTTCAAAAACCAGAAAAATAATACATGTATTCTTAGTATTTATTTAAAGGCTTTACAGCACGTGTCCTGGAGGGCCACTGCTCTGCAACTTTCAGAGCCGTCTCTGTTGCACCACAGGATCCAAAGCCTCGAGCAGAACACAGCTTCCAGTTTTATATAAAGTGTTTCATTTGATTCACATAATTTGACAATTTGGTTACAAAACAAATTGCAAGCTTACACATTTTGTTTTCATAAGGGAAATTAAACATTCAAGGAGGTCATGAGGATGGTTATCAGACCAACAAGAAACAAATCAACAACTTGATTGCACTACTGAGTTCAGAAAGACAGCTTCAGAAAACCCTCCAATCAACATGTGCATTACAGAAGAATCTTGATGCTGATATGCATTCATTTACTCATAACCCTTAAAATTTTCCATCACAACATTCACACAGAAGTCTGATTGTGACTGCATTTAATTAGTAGCATGAACGACCAAAATAAAAATCACATTTCAACACAAAAATCAGAATTGAGCATTCAGACCTGCTGTGTGAACGTAGCCGTAGATCCTGAGTTTCCAGATGTCATCGTTCTCTTTGTGGTTCTGCCAGGGAGCCAAGGCGCTTTGTGGAGGAGACCCTTTTGTCCCCACTGATCCCAAACTGAAGGGGGGTTATTTTATGTCCCCTTGTGTCCTTGGTATGTTTGACTCCTTCACCCATCGCCGTAGTGATGACTGGTTTCTGTCAAATCACGGTTCACACACCTTCTGTTGACAGAAAACTGCAGAGACGACATGACCTGTGTGAAGGAGGAGATCTTTGGTCCGGTCATGTCCGTCCTCCCTTTTGACTCCGAGGATGAGGTGATCCAGAGGGCTAACAACACCACCTATGGACTGGCCTCTGGAGTCTTCACCAGGTGAGCAACAGCCAGCAGGCTTATCTGAAACCAGCAATGAGCAACGATCTACCACTGCTTCCCTTTGAAGAGGAGTTTATTGCTTTCTCTAGGTTGGATTTTATAACGGTCTATTCATGTTGTTCCTTTTACTGCAGTAGGTTAATAAAGCTCAAGTCTAGACAGAGGTGGTTTAATCTTTTACCACATGAAATAAGCTCCTCCCTCCACCTGCAGGGACATTTCTCGAGCTCATCGTGTGGCAGAGAGGCTGGAGGCGGGGACCTGCTTCATCAACAACTACAACAACAGTCCTGTAGAAATGCCATTTGGAGGTTACAAGATGTCAGGTAGCTTGTTGGGAGGTTTCTACATTCATGAACAATTCTTTCAATTTAACTTTGAGAGAACATGGGAAGTGTTACCAGAATGAACCCAAACTGTTGAATCTCCCCAGGATTCGGCAGGGAGAACGGCCAGGTGACCATCGAGTACTACTCCCAGCTGAAGACTGTGGTTGTGGAACTGGGAGATGTTGAGAACCACTTCTAAAACCTGAAAGTTCACATGCAACACTAGAAGTGGGCCTGAAGATTTGGGCGTTCTACAATTATGTGCCACAGAAAAGTTGTAGAGTATAAATCTGTGTACTTACTTTGAAACCTGAAGCAGTAGATCAGCAGTGCTTATTTCCTGCACCGACTTCCTAGCCACAAAATGTGACTCCACCTTAAGATTAAGCTACTATACTGATTGAGATGTTCATGCGACCGCATAGGTATGTAATGTTAAAGAAAGAGGCCTAATAAATGTGCATCAGCATTGGAAGGAAACCTGTGCCAAATGGTGATTATGATTGTTTACTTGAAAGTCTTTGTCATTTTACAAAATAAAACATTTCAGTGACCATTATCTTTTTACTTCAGAAAGTAATTCATTGAAATATTTTACACTTCAGTTATTTACCTACTTCTGTAACTTGAGTAATCTTTGTGTAAGTAATGTGGAACACCAGTTTTAGTATCTAAAAGATCAGCACACTGCCAACACCTGGTCAACTTGAGGTGTTGCATGAGCTCACTACTTCTTCGACTCAGTCCTCCATTTATTTCAAAGGGAATTAAAATGTAATCAATTGTCTTCAACCCAATGGTTGAAGTGATTCAAATGTTGTAACAGAAGTCCGCCTGAAAGTTCCAACCATAAAGTAGACTCTGTAATTCGATGTACTTATAGTTTGAAAAACATCAGATGGTGTATTTGAAAAAAAAAAAAATCACGTTTAAAAACTGGATTCCTTGTAGTGCTAAAGTAACGGTGAGCAGTATGGTTGAACATTGTCTCTACGAGCGGAGTGAAACTGGGGGAAGTTGTTTTTTCACTGAAGGATTCCTGTAAGCTTGTCACAAAATAAAATCATCGGAGTTATACAGCACATTCATATATGATAGAAGTGTGATGAACGACTCTTCCAGAAGATGGCAGTAATGCAACAGCTAGGATGCAAATTCCCATAAACTCCAGAGAAGAAGAACCGGTTTGTTTCATTTCTCTTAACCAGATAGCTTGTAGTTCAACAATGCAGGTAAGTTTGAGTCCCAAACGCTCCTTGAAGAAATGCACCATTCATCGAAAGGATAAATGTTTTAGTTTAGCACAACTTCCGGTTTATTGTGCTCATATTAACACAGTAGTTAGCCCAGCAGGCTAAGCTCTGTGGCTCATAGCTACATGGCTAAGTTGCTAACAGTTGTATTTGTGCTGCTTGTTTTTCTCAGCAACGCGAGGAGAAGCAGTTGGAAGCCTCGGTGGACTCTCTCATCTCCCTGGTGGCTCTCACGAAAAACGCTCTGCAAAGTTTCATCTACAAGCTGGAGAACGAATACGAGCGACTGACATGGTGACTAAATATTTGACTCCAAACTGCAGCAGCTGCTCTGAGTCTTCTTCCTCTGTTTCCTCTGAAATCATTTTGCTGCTCGGTATCACTGGGCCAACATCAACTATGGAAGAGTTCATAGTCAGAAAGTGTTTATTATGAATGAAATTAAACTTTACTTTCTCTTCATAGGATGAAGAGCAAGCTCATCTTTTTCTAGTTTAATTGTAGAACATTTTACCACAGCAGCCATGTGTGTTGATCTCCCTCAGGCCCAATGTTCTGGATAACTTCGGTCTCCTGTCTGGTCAGCTGAACACCATCAATAAGATGCTGAAGAACGAGAAGACGCCGTCGTTCCGCAGCCAGGTCATCATCCCTCTGGTGCTGTCCCAGAAGCCAGACGACGACCTAACGGTGGGTGTGTTCTCACCGTCGTCCTCCTGTGGTTTTGGATTTCTGTCTCTCATCTCTCTTGTTATTCCCCCCTCAGGTCCTCACAGAGCAGCGTGTCCCGGTGTTCAGCCATGAAATTGTCCCAGACTACCTGCGGACCAAACCCGACCCGGAGGTGGAGGAGCAGGAGAAGCAGCTGAGTACAGAGGCGGCGCGCATCGGTCCGGATGTAGCGCAGGTCAGTTACATGTCGTCTTGACTCCTTTATTTTCATATTTCATATCGAACAGTTGGTGTGTTTTACATTAACTCCCTCATTGTTGGATCATCGAACAGAAACAGATCCAGGCGCTGAATAAAATGTGTTCCAACCTGCTGGAGAAGCTGAACAACCCACGTGATGACAGAGATGCAGAAGGTGCCGGTAGGTCTCTCCGCTCCGCTCCGTTTGTTTCTTTCTGGATCCTGATTGAAATCAAATCCTCAACATGTCTCCCCATCAGCGTCCCGATTGAACAAACCGTCATTTAACCCCGGAGACACCAACGCCTTGGTCGCTGCTGTTGCGTTTGGAAAAGGCCTCTCCAAGTGTAGGCCTCCGGGTCCCATGGCTCCTGGACATCCAGGGCAGGGGCCCATGATGAGCGGGGGGCCAACCTTACAGCAGGTCACTATCGGAGGTGGTGGAGGCCAGCAAGCAGGTATGGGGGGACCGGTAGCTCCACAGCAGCAAGGACAGCCGGGTAAGAGGCCTGGTTTGGAGAGCGTTCAGAACTCAGCCCACACACAGCCTGATGCTGTTTTCATCTAACTACCAGATTTGGATATTATGATCATGTTATGTTATTCATCATGTTTTAACACGTTTCCATTCCAACTGTTAAACAGCAACAGTTTAAACATGACATTTAAGGAAAAATAAATTCTAAAAAACTTGAGGGTGTTTTTTTTCTAGCAAAAAACTTGAGGGTGTTTTTTTTCTAGCAAATTTTTGACTTTAGGAAATTTTCTGACTTTTGATACTCAGAAACGTCTGTTTTGTTTTCCAGAATAATTTCAAAGATCTAAAAATTTCAGAGTTTTTGGGCAGAAATGTTTTTCTAATACATAATATGTGCATCAGACCAGTAAAAAACAATTTTAAAATGTGAATTTTAACAAAGTATGTTTAATATCTGCTTTAAAAGTTATTTTCAAAGGTACTTTTAATCTGACAAACAACTCGGACTGTAACTTGACTGGAGGTGGATGTATATATTTGCACCTTTCTAGATAAATTATTGGGAAATAACAATAAGATTAATTTAATTTATTGAATTGTCATCCCACACAGATATTGTTCATGTCCTGGTCGTGATGAGTGCATGTAAACCTCTGATTGGTTTGTGACGGTTTGTGAATGTTTACAGTTGTTTTCTGTTTGTCCTCCAGGGAAAATGCCAAGCAGCATCAAGACAAACATAAAATCTGCATCTGCTTCCATGCATCCCTACAACCGATGAGCTTTCTGCTTCCTTCCTACCAGCTCAGCTCTTCAAGGAAACAACGGGGCTGGAGGAAGCTTCCCCAGACCAGGGACCTGCAGCCTGTGGCTCCGGAGCCACAGTGGCTCTTACTAACTGAGTCGATGAAGAAACAACTGAGGTTTTAAAAATGCAATAACAAATACAAGATTGTTCATGTTAATTTCCACAACAGCATAACAAAAGTATTGTTCATTTTTATTTAGAACTGTTTCTCTTCTCAGGCTGGAAACTGAGAAAATGTAACCATTATATTTTGGAAAAGGCTTTTTTTTTTTTAAAGTATGTTAAAGCCTGAAAGCAGGATTCTTGAGGTTGTGCTTTAAAAATGACAATACATTTTCTGCTGTATCTAATGATCAAATATTATAAGATGCCTTTTTATTTTTGAAAGGATCATGTAATATTTGTGGCTCTAACCAGGTTTATGTAGTTGGACTGAGGGCAGGAATAACTGGATATTGCAGTTTTGGGAACCAGACCTTCTGTTTGCAGCCACTAGATGGCACTATATCAACATTAAAAAGCCTCAAAACAACTTTCTATATTTACACTGTTCATATAATATCTATCTTTTATTACATTTTTTCTACAATAAATCAATACAAACACGTCGTTGTTCAGTGACTAGATTAAATCAGAAATAAACCCAGTCCGGATGGATTTTGTGGACCAAACAAAAACATGAATTTCGCTTCGTTTCTTCTTCATTCTTTTTTTCTCGCCGCAGCAAAAGTGAGCGTAATGAGCCCGGACGTCTCTCTGTGTGGCCTGATAATGTCAAAGTGTTTAAGGGGGAAATAAGGAAGTATTGCTGCTGTCGTGTGAGGGGGTCCTCCCTCTGACTCCCTCTGTGTCCCTTTGTCTCCCTCTGTCTCCTCCAATCCGCGTCCCGTCCTGCCGGTCAGTCCCAGCGCAGCGGCCGCTCTGCAGTCACTGCGGCCCGGCCGTAGCTGACCTACATCCCCGCTGTGTGAGCAAACAGGCCGCTGTCTCGCTGCGTCAGGCGCCCCGCTGAGACAGACGGCTCAACGCTGCACAAGGTCACTCTGGGTCACGGAGGAACGGAGGGCCAGGTTCCAAACAAAGAGCCCAACACGAAACATCCTGCAGAAACAGCAGCGAGGGGCCCTTTAAATGTTCAATATCTGCTTCGGGATTATTTCAGTGAGTCAAACGAGACTCATTGATTCCATATTGTAATTTATTGTGACTACAACAGTTTAAACCTGTTTTCTGTATGACCACAATATGTTAAGAACCTTCTTAAAATGTCTTCATAAAAAAAATTAGATCACTTCAATGAAGTGATATTCATAACAAGAAGCTGGATCATAATGATAATTTATATGATGTAATAATAAATACAATAAATATAAACCAGAATACTAATCATAGTTCAGTTCAAATCAACTTTATTAATATAACATCAGTACACAACAAATGTGTCCACTTTATTAAAAAAAAAAAATATAAAACATTTTAGTTCAATCATACATACTTTCCAAATGATAATAGTTATCAAACAGTGTAATAAAGCTCAATGCATGATTGAAAATATCTAAGAGTCATGGAGCTGCTGCTCTGTCTCCTCTGGACTTCACAACAATCCCTCACCAACATTTCATCACAAACAGGAAAACAATATAGAAACCAACCGCGTCAGCGGAGTGAAAGGATGAATGTGACAGTTACTCCAGCATCATGTGACAGTTACTCCAGCATGATGTGACAGTTACTCCAGCATGATGTGACAGTTACTCCAGCATCATGTGACAGTTACTCCAGCATCATGTGACAGTTACTCCAGCATCATGTGTCTTTGTTTTCTACTTGTTCATGGTTCACAGAGATAACTGTTCTTTCCTCCAATGCGAGCTCACTCTGGCAGGACTGGACAGAATTCGCTGTCCTGTAGAGGAGGACATGATAAGATCCACGTCCCACTTGTTACAGAAGCTTCAGGCCAAAACTCCCACACCCAACAGTGACTCAGACCACATTCTCCTCCAAATCCTGTGCTCTTCAGGCAGCCTGGGAGGATTTGATGTCGTGGGCCATCCTGAAAAATTTCCAAACGTCTTCTTCATTGTTCATTTATTTTTTATAAAAGTTGGGATCAGAGGAACATGTTGAACATCTGTAGGTGGCAGGAGCTTCATGAACGGCGCCAGGCTGAGCTGTTTCCACTGGTTGGAACACACCCACCTGTCCTCACTGCATCCCAGTCCTGATTCATCTGCCTTCACTGCTGCTTGGACATTTTGTACCATTGATCACCTTTTACCAAAGGACAGCATTTCTTCTCCTGTAACACTGACCGGGTTGGTGGACACTGAGAGGATCTCTGATATTCTCTTCCTTTCATTTCAGTCGACAGGTTTAGGATCTGGGTCTGCAGACTGAGATGACTAACCCCGGCTCCGTTTTACCAGAAGAGTCTAACAGATTTCTATTTAATATGTTCTGATAGTTTAAAAAATGGCTGACATGACCAGATCATTTTGGTCCCCAATCTGATTGCCTGATTCTGATCTGAACCCGCCGCCCTGACAGTTTTATGAAAAAGCTCTGCAGGGGGAGAAACCACGCGTTTGAGCTCCTTCAAAATGCAACATTTCTAATGTACTTACAGCACATATACAGTTAAACCCACAAGTTTACATACAACACATTTTTTTCCTCATTGTCTGAAGTTAAATCTGTTTTATTTTTGTTGTTTTAGGTCATATATCTGTTTCCTAAATGCCAGAAAAATTACAGAAAACCTTTTTAGAGATGCTTTTGTAACTTTCCTTGAATTCTAAAGTTTACATACATTTGGTCAGAATCAGTGATAACCGTCTCTTAAGCTGTGTGACGGGTTAGCACAGACATTTGTCCCTCACTTTTCCAAATGGCAGATCAGTTTATAATCCAGTAAAATCACAAACAGCTGAAACTCCACACAGATCCCATCATGTGATCTGTGATGAATCACCGCGTGCGGAAGACGATGAGGGATGAGCAACATGCTCCGATACTCCAGCCAACCAAATCGAAATATTTGCTCTCTAGTCACTTTTTGGTCACTGTTTTAAAGGAACACAACGTCTCCTCTTTGCTTTTTGGACGGAGGTTGATCAGCTTCTCGGAGGCTCAGCATTTAACTTTCTTTGTTTTTAATGTAGCCATAAATGTAGATTTACACCCAGAACTCCCAGAACTTGAAGTTTCATTTCACCAACACTCTGTAGAAAGGAAAATGAATAAAAATCTAGTTTGTGTCACCTTGAAGTCATTAAGTGTGCGTTTCTTTTTAAATTCAATAGAAGCCCCTCTGGAACAGGCCAGTTATTGCAGCTGGCTGGATTTGCATCTTGTTGCCATGTAAAGTGGGTAATGATGGTTAAAGACCTGTGTCACATTTGTCACGCTGCAGCTTGTTTGTTAAAGCGACTCGGAATGAAAGAGAACATCCAGCCATTGTTCTCTGAAGAGGATTTGCACCTTTTTTCTCACCGCAGTGACTGAATCAGCCTCACAAAGGCTTTTTGCTTTGAGAAGCTTGTGGATAAATGAAACTCGTCCAGCTCTTCCAGCTCCAAACAGCGGCTAGAAAAAGGTGTGTGATAGAAACTGGGAGGCCCATCCATGTAATTACATGTGATCATGTTTGCATGTGTCACTCCCACGGCCCCTGATTCCCAGCGCTCCCGGGAGCCTCTTTCTAATCCACAATTTGATTTGATGTTTAAACCTCTTCCACTCTGCTTGTTTTTCTTCTCCTCCTCCTTCCAGAGGAGGGATGAATCGGAGGCTCAGAATCAGACATCCTGTCTGGTTTATCTGGAGGAGAGAGATAAGTGCGGATGCCGCCTCTCTCGGGGAATGAACATTAGCTGTGCCTCGGAGGGAGTTCATGGTGTGGGGAAAGGTGGTGGAGGGGGAGGGGCGCCTGTCGGCCAGGAGCTGCACAGCTTTCACTCAGTCTGGGAACTGTGAAAATGTCCCTCATCACACACACCACGCACGCACGCACGCACGCACGCACGCACGCACACACACACACCCCCACACACACACAGGCGAACATACCTTCCTGGGCAGTTTGCGGTGATAAAATGCCTCTGCGTCATGGTGCAGTTGGAAGTCGGATGTGTAAAGTTATCCAGAGGTGTTGGACTGACAGACCCACAATGTGTTAACTCATGTCCTCCAGTGACTTCTGACCCTGTTACTAAAGTCTGGAGGAGAGGCGTTGCCGAGGAAGACGGGTTTGTGGGGAAAAAACCCACAATGCAACAGTCTGTAAGTATTTTTCTGTATGGTTCTTATCCTCTGAGCTCGGGTCCTCTACCAGAGGCCTGGGAGCTTGAGGGTCCTGCAGTATCTTGGCTGTGCCAAGGACTGCACATTTCTGGACTGAGATGTCTGATGTTGTTCCTGGGATCTGTTGTAGCCACTGCTCCAGTTTGGGGGTTACTGCCCCGAGGGCCCCGATGACCACAGGCACCACTGTGGTCTTCACCTTCCAGGCCCTCTCCAGTTCTTCCCTGATGCCCTAGTATTTCTCCATTTTCTCGTGCTCTTTTTTCCTGATGTTGCAGTCACTTGGTATTGCTACATCTACCACAACGGCTTTCCTCTGATGTTATCCACTACGACAATGTCTGGTTGGTTCGCCATTACCATTTTGTCTGTCTGGATCTGGAAGTCCCACAGGATCTTAGCTCTGGTGTTCTCCACCACCTTTGGGGGTGTTTCCCACTTTGATCTCGGGGTTTCCAGTCCATATTCTGCACAGATGTTTCTGTACACTATGCCTGCCACTTGGTTATGTCGCTCCATGTACGCTTTCCCTGCCAGTATCTTGCACCCTGCTGTGATGTGCTGGACTGTCTCAGGGGCCTCCTTGCACAACCTACACCTTGGGTCTTGTCTGGTGTGGTAGATCTGGGCCTCTATTGCTCTGGTGTTTAGGGCCTGTTCCTGGGCTGCCAGGATGAGGGCCTCTGTGCTGTCCTTGAGTCCAGCTTTTTCCAGCCATTGGTAGGATTTACTGATATCAGCCACTTCGGTTATTTGCTGGTGGTACATCCCATGTAGGGGCTTGTCCTCCCATGATGGTATCTCTGGCACCTCAACCTCCGTTCCCTGTTGTCTGAGACATTCACTGAGCACATTGTCTGTTGAGGCTTTGTCCCTGATGTATTATGGATCTTAGTTGTTTCGTCCTGGACAGTGGTTCTCACACTCACTAGTCCTCTGCCTCCGTCCTTGCGGCTCGTGTACAGTCTCAGGGTGCTGGATTTGGGATGGAACCCTCCATGCATGGTTAGTAGCTTTCTAGTCTTAATATCTGTGGCTTTTATCTCCTCCTTTGGCCAGCTAATTATTCCAGCAGGGTATCTGATTACTGGCAGGGCATAGCTGTTATCGCACAGATTTTGTTCTTGCCATTGAGCTGGCTTCTCAGGACTTGCCTTATTCGTTGGAGGTATTTAGCTGTGGCTCCTTTCCTTGTGGCTCATCGAGGTTGCCATTTGCTTGTGGTATACCTAGGTACTTGTAACTGTCCTCTATGTCTGCTATTGTTCTTGTGGGAGTGAGACCCTTCTGTGTGGATGACCTTCCCCCTCTTTGTGATCAGCCGACCACATTTCTCTAGTCCGAATGACATCCCAATGTCAGTGCTGTAGATCCTGGTGGTGTGGATCAGTGAGTCGATGTCTCGCTCACTCTTGGCGTACAGCTTGATGTCATCCATGTAGAGGAGGTGACTGATGAGTCGGTATCCGTAACCAGTCTTGTTGATAATTTGGCTGAGGGGGGTTCAGGCCTATGCAGAACAGTAGCGGGGACAGAGCATCTCCTTGGTATATGCCACATTTGATGGACACTTGTGCAAGTGGTTTGCAGTTGGCTTCAAGGGTGGTTTTCCACAGCTTCATCGAGTTTGCAATGAAGCACCCCCCCCCCTACACACACACACGCACACACACACACCCACGCCCCACACACACACACTCTCAAAACAACCCCCCCCCAAATTTTTTTTTTTTTGTCACAGTCTGAA